GGCTCAAAGCCGTTACGGTGTTCTATGCCGCCGCAACGGCTTTAAAGCCCTTTTAATGCGGGACGTCATAGAACGCTGTGACGGCATTAAGGGGTTAACATGTAATCTATTGGGGACTTCAAAGGGGTGATTGCATTTTCAAACTAAGTATGGTTTATTCAACACATGTATGCGCGACATTTAGTCACCAGAATGAACCTCGGCTGCCATCTTTTTGGTTTCCACATTTTTGTTTTTATGCTAAACGTCTTTCCTGTTGTATTGATGAACAGTGCACCTGAGGGTACCCTTATGCGAAATTAATAAATGGCACAACATTGGGACTTAGTCATTGATGTCTGGTTCAAGGTTCAGCTCGAAATGTCGCCGTTTCTGATCCTGACGGACATCTTTTTGCTACGACTAGCACAAAGAAATGGTTCATTTCTGGGCAGGGTCTAAATAATAATTTGTTTTCTAAATTTGAGATTTCTAATATGCATTGATTTAGATCCTGTTTAGAAAGGCCATAGTATTCACTAATAGATTCTACAATTAGACATATATAGATATATCAGAAGTATCCAAATGGAATTTGTCTTTTAATTGGGTAAATGGCATAAGCTTATTAGACAAAAAAAAACAAAACATCTATATATATCTCTTTATTACAATAGGAAAAACACCTCTTTAATACAATAGAATAAAAATCTTAGTTGCCTCCATCTTGAGCCACTAAGCAAAACCACTATCTAAATTAAATTTAAGGGCAGTGGCTACATCAGTATCATGATAGTAGTGGATGAAGTCTGGGACACCCATACCTTTGCTACCTCTTTAGTTGTTTTTTTTTGTTTTAGTTTTTGCAATACAAATAATTTAATTCTACTCGGTTTCTGATTCCTAATAAATGTCAAAACACAGAGTGAACCTTTCTAAAGAATTACAAAGGAATAAGATGGATCACCCTAATATAATATAAGTATAGTAATTTTAACCGAACTATTTCTACCTAACCATGAGATTTGACAACTACAACACCGTTTCATGTATTCTCTAAGCTCTGGCCAGAATTTTTACAGGTTATAAGCATGCATCTTAGGCAGATTCTTGTACGGGTTAATTTACTGTATAATGCATATTTTATATTGCTTTAGTCAATAATTTAATCCTTGCTTTGTATGTTTATTATTATTGTTATTGCCATATATCACCACTATTTATAAACACATGCTATATTAGTTCTCTGACCTTTTTGGTCCTATGTCTATTTTGAAAATTGGGGCCGCAAATGTTCGGTTCTGCCCGGAAGCTCAGCTAAAGTTTTTGCTTTTAATCTAAGTTACACCCGTTTTGTCTTCTACCACCCTTATCGAGAGGCTCAATACCAAGAGCCATCTAGATATTGTTGCATAAGAGTTTTTAAGTATTTCCCCAAAGCTTTTCATCAAGTTTTATTGGGGATCACGTGACCCGTTTTCAATAATTAAAACTCATTTTATACTCCACAAAGATGTTTGTTAAGCATGTAAATATTGTATAATCTATGTTAATTTTTCTTTTGGGAGTTATTGAAGCAAATACATTTATGCTAACCTTTGCACTTATCATGTGACCCCAGTTGAGGTCAAAGGTCACATATGATGTAATTTTGGCTCCAATTTGAGTAAGCTTACACCCTATATATACCCTATAGTGTCAGACTCTGTCTGTTTATACTTAAAAATGCCCCGCAGTTGGCGAAGCATGTTGTGTTGTTTTAATATTTGTTTTTAAGCATTTAAGTATATTTGGCATTCACTTTTTATGTGTCTAATCATTGATTACAGTTTTTTTATGCTTTTAAGTTATTTTATTTTTTAATTGTTCCTGGCATGCCAAAACTGTTAAATACTTACCAGATATGAATACCCTGATAAGGATCATCGCATGGACGATCTACCCAACAGTATATCCTTGGTGGCAATTATACCACCCAAGCGCTAATATCTGAGCGGTGTCAACTGCTCAAAATATGTGAGTAGGCTATTGTTATCTTTTTATGTACTACTACATTTATCACAGTGAGCACTATTGTTTCCCTTTTATATTTTTTATATACCCATCTATATGCTGAGAGACTGACTGCTAGAGCTACATATCCATCAGTGTGGATTCTGCTGCTGTATGCTGTTTGGTTTTATAGCTCTATCAAATGTGAATGTTATACCATATATGTTTCTGTTGTGTGTTCTGCGCTTAGCACCTTGTTTTAGCTCATGGAGGATTCAGCAGGAAAAGCCCTTGTAAGGATTAGAGCTCCGAGGACAGTGTATTGTTGTCCCTATCCTGCTCCAGGAGGGCCCCAGTAAAGCCACGGTGACAGGGGCAGATGCGTTGAGGTTTTTCCCCTGTTCCAGCTAGGAAGCGGTCCTTGGCGGAGATACCCAGCCAGGGTACAAGGAGCTCCGTTACAATATCCATGTTCCATATGACTTCCCCTTTAACCATTAACCTTTAAATATTTTCATCCAATTTGACGTTTTAGTTTCAAACAGTTCTCTTACCTATTTTTCCAATTAACCTTCAACTTCCTTTATCATTTATGTCAGAAAATCAATGTATCACAATCCCTTTTATAACGGTTTACAATTTATTATTCACTCTGTTATATTTTATGGACTGTTTCACTTGATGTTACCTTACCCATAACCCTCATCTACTGAACAACACTGCAGACGAGAACACCTTATAAAAAGTATAATATGATCTTATGGATACTAAAAAAAAGGATCGAAAAAACATGTAATAGTACTGGAAAAATATAAAACTATATGCTGTCATCAATAAACCTTTAACACATCTTTATTTCAATATAAAGTCTTACAACCATACTAGAAGTAAAACCACTCTTTAAAAGTGTATATTGTATAACTTGCTAATGTTTTAAATGGAACCCACAGCATATCACTCGCGGGATTGTGGTATTTTAAGGGCATGCTAAAGTAGTCACACATGTTTAAAAAGATTATCCTTAGTATTCCTTAGGCTACTTACTATACAAATCAGCCTTTTTTTCTGGAAATTGTTCAGGGCCAACTGAAATTAATTTAATCTGATAACATCTGGCTGCTAATGTAAAAGTAGCCACAAAGCCGCTACTCTCAAGTATTTATGCAATCTACATATTTCTGGCTCTTTTGTGGTAACACAAGGGTTTAGCAAAAGCTGAGGGGTTTAGGCTGCTTCCTTTATTGTATTACAATACATGCAGGCATTTATTTGGTTCAATGTGATTCCCAAGCCATATTATATTTTTTTTATGCAAGTCATAGAAATTTATGAGGCATATAATATAATAACATACACTGCAGTAAAAGTGTTGCTGTTGTTTTTTTTATTATTATTATTATTATTATTATTATTACTATTATTAGACAATCTAATTATCAAATTGATTGGTAATAATATTTAATGCAATTAATTTAAATGTAAATTAAATTGTACTTGTATAATAGAACAATTGTACAACGATTTTAAAATATGCATAATTCATAATACAACATCAATATTTTATTAAGTAAAAGTAAAAATAAAAAACAAATTCAACAATATCGCAATATGGCTTGAGGTTATGTGATAGTTATAACACTCAATTTATCCTGGTGTTTATCATTATCCTGGCTTAGAAAACTATTACTGGCATTCATTTAAAGAATGTAAATATACCAGGAAAGCGTTCTTTAAATCTACCATCATCTTCCAAAAATGTAAGTGCCTTTTAATCTTTGTACACAGTTACATCTAAAATAATATTTAACACAATATCACGTGCTTCTCAAATCTGCAGACAAACAGCGCTTGTCACTAGTTATATGCTAAAATAGATTTAAAACATTTTAATTTAATTACCATACACAAATGTCTGTGATTGTAGTTAATTAACTCAGGCGTACATATGGAATATGATTCAAGAGTGCTCTTTATTCAGGAATTCAGAAATTTTTATACCTGAAAATTCACAGAGCACTTAAAGTTGTATTCAAAATTATTTGACCCCCATTGAAAAGCAGGTTTATTGTTAACATTTACAGACTTTCAGCTTTTTGCAATAAACAAATCAAACTAAAGCAATTGAAATAAGCTCAACACAATGAATGCTTGAAGTGGTTTCCCTCAAAATCAATTGAAAATGCAACTTATAATGACTTAGTTTTAAGTCTGACAAATATATTAGAGGGATATTGTTAAATTTATTTTATAGTAGCGAGTCTCATTAACATTTTTAAAGATATATCTTGGTAAAGAATTAAGATGATAAGTTAAGCTTAAAACAATATCATTGGCAAACATTATCCTTTTTATATTTAAATCCATCCTGATCGTGAAGCCAAAGGTTCTATGACAAATACAAAACGTAGGGGTGATAAAGGGCAGCCCTGTCTCAATCCAGATATAAGTCCCTTGGCAAAAACTCTAGCAGTTTGTGAATCATATAGGGTAAAGATGGCATTGATAAATCTCAAAGGGAATTTCATATTTAACAGCACCTGTTTCAAATATCCCCAATAAATCCTATATTTGCATAGTTTTACCAACATAATTCCAAGGCATCCGAGAACATTTTTTTTTTTTTAAATCTAATTGGTACTAAACACCACCTATGTAAGATGGGAAAATGTTTTTGTAGTGTAATGTCGTTGTGTCATTGAATAATAATAACTTATATTCTAACTCAGTAATCTTAGTAATATTCTTTTAAATAAGCCTGCATGTGAGTGCCACTGTAATATAGATTTCTGTCTTTCTTTTTGGAAGGAAAAGTTTGATTAAAATCTTTGCTTGTGAACTAACCTATGTGCACAGCCTAGAACAAAAATTGAGGATATTAAATACTTATGCTTCTCAGCTACATTATATTTCTATTTAAATAAGTTATTTTCACTTACCTGAGCACTTTCCGCTCTGCCAGTATACTTCCCAATTTGGGTTTTCCCGCTAATGTAGATTCCTGTTACAGGAAGTAATTTTTTTGTCTCAATTTCTTCGTCATCCACAAACAATATTGCATCAGCTTCTGTTACCAATATTCGTATTTGATGCCATCCTTCATCAAACAATTTCTATTTTACAAAGAAGAGAGATAATTTTTGCACTTCTCCAAATATATTTATAGATGAGAATGTATCATGTAACTTAAAATAATTGCAATGTTGATACTTGACAAAGGAGTCACTTTAAGAAAAAAACTAAAATGTTAAAGTTGATATTTTGAAAATACACTGATAACTACGGTGATGCAATGATGACACTACAATTGTATTCTTTTTTAATTCCTTTTTTCTGTTTTAGTTACTCACGGAGAGACCTAAAAAATTTAAGTATTTTGTAATATACTGGACAAAATCCAATTGGATTTAAATTGCCTAGTCTAGAGCATTTGATTTCTAACACAAAAACTGGCAAAAATACATCAACATCACTGTTACCTTAACACCAGGTGTTTTAAATGTGACAACCTGGGTATCATTTATTTGACTTGTTGTAGTGAATGATAATGTTCTGTCTTCTCCATTTAATGAAACCGCTGTTTGAATTGAGCCATCAAGGGCTAATATTCTCCACAAGTCCCACTTTTTCTTGATTTTAAACCTCTGAGTAGAAACGAACAAATATGAAGGAGGAAGGCCCTCTGGAAAAACATTCCTACAATATAAAACCATTACATAATTATATAGCAGTCAACTATTTTATTCTATAAATTATTTCATTATGGTCCATGAATGCTATGCAAATATTATTAAGTCAAGGCTAGTTGCATTTATTTCATGACTATATGGATGGGCCCTGAAGACTATATAGATTTTTGCCTCCTTTGAGAAATCTAAGTAATTGTTATATTTGCTTTTTAATTTCTGCTATGGTACATAAGTAGTTTATTTTTGGTGCTCATTCTGTTACCAAGATATGTTTTCTGGATTCATTTTACAATAATTCAGGTTATCAATGATTCTCATTCTCAATAATGATTATTTGCCACCTCGGTTTTGAAGTATTTATTTACCAAACGCTAATCTCAGAAAACTACTGAAGAATCAGATGAATTCATTAATAAGTTATTCAATAATTAAAAAATAAATTGTTATGTGGAATTTAGGATAGAATCCCAAGATAGTGCAGGGGAGTAAGGACAATAAGAATAGCCATGTATGACTGGCCAGGGAGGTAAACTATGAAAGACATTTAAAAAAAATCACAATCCTTAAATAGGCAGGTATCACTAAACATTTAACCGAATGTAAAGGAAAATTAAGGTCAGGATGCAGAAGGTTATCCAATAAACTAATCAATAAGAGAATCATACATCAAAATCACAAAGCCATTAAAGGACAAAAGGCAGAATGAGGGGAAAAAAGCCATGTTCTGCCATATTCTATTTGATTAGTGTGCACTGGTACATTTGCTCACATGATGATTGGGTGCAATTGTGTAAGATCTATGCCATCATTAGTGTAGTGTTATATTGAGTACAAAAACAAAACATGGCTATAATAAATAAGCTGGGTAACGGGACCACGTAGCACAAGTAAGAGGATACCAAGTGGCAAGTAGTAACCTTAAAAGTATCTTTTCCATGGTGTAATACAAAGGCAGTTGTTAGAAGAACGGACAAAGAAAATAATAGATTGTCTCAATTCTAAATTGTGCGTGGTTCCCTAAAATGTTGGTGATGCCAAAAAAAGTGTCAAATACCACTAATATTATCTTAAAAAATGAACAGCTATTTGGAAATATAATGGTCAGCTGTAAATGCCTCTTGGTATAAAATTAATTTAACATAATTTCATAATTTTGCAAATGTTCTCCTATATTTTACCACTTGGAAGAAAAAACAAATAGTTCCAACTTTTATATTGTATCTTGAAGAATAGAAGTTAATAAAAAAGATAAGAAGTTACATTTAAAAAAAAAAAAAAAAAAGAAGGCACAGTCAAACATGCAGAAGCAGAAATGATCCTCATGAGAGTGATAGTCACCAGCATGAAGTTGGTACTCAAATCCTAATAGACTAACAAGATTGCCAAATAAGGCAGGGTAAAGAAAAGAAAAAAAGGAGATAAAAATTGAGCCTTAAGGACTAGAGATAAAATGGGTAGCAGAGAGAAAGTGGTTCCAGAAAAGGAGGCACAAAATTAATGCTAATTGACCTAGGATTAATGCAATGATATCAATAAATTAAGAAAAAACAGATATGTATATAAGTAAGTGATTTGTAATTGAAGTATTACTCTCAATATCACATTAAAAACTAGCTCTTACTGACATGAGTTTATGCATCAGAACATTAGATTTGAAACTTTAAAATGTAACGATAAAAATTTCAGCTTTACAGCCAACATTGTTTCCACAGTTGCTTAATAGAAAAAAATATTATGAGTTATAATGTACCTTTTAAAATACATGGAATGTGCCAAATAAAATGATTTTGCAGATGTAGTACACTGCTGATTGCCCTGGTAAGCAGTATGCTAAAACGCAGTGTAAATTGTAAAAAGGAAAAAAGTTTTTTTCGCCATCTCCATTAAATATCTTACATAGAATTATATGAGTGAGGGTAATTGATTTAGCAAAGCCGAATTTTACAATCACATGACCATAAACCATATATTTAAACCATATATTTTAAATAAGTGGTGATTAGTGATTATATATTTATATATATTACCATTTTTCTATGGTATTATTTGGTAATTGAATTGATGTTGGCACAGTTAAGGTCATTTAAAAATGTAACAAGTAATCTTTGATAGCACTCTATAGGAAACTGTACCATTATTAAATCCAATGACCAATATGTAAACAATGTTGTTTTGGGACATTCACTAAAACACATGTATGGGGAAAAATAGTTAAAGGAACATTCCATGCAACATAGCATACCGTACTTTATAATGGATTTCTGGCACTTTGAAATGTCAGTAGTGTGCAACTTTGAATGAATGTCAATTCATTTGAAACTGAGTGCACAAGTCGAATACTAAGTATCAAATCCACGGAACTTTCTAGGGCTTGGGTGAGGGTGTCATCCAGTCATCAGTATCTTCTGATTCGTTCTGCCTACAGTGTCTTGCAGTTATCTTCTAAGGGTAGTTCGGGTGAGTGCCACCAATGGGAACATCTCTTTATCTGATCTTTATCTATCTTTATCTTATATTATTAGAAGTTAAGGTCTTGATTGGTTAGAGCAATAGTTACATCACTGAAATTCTGTTCAGACAATCCATGTTACAGTGCTGCCTCCCATCCCATGTGTTCCCTACTAAGGGTTGATAAGTATGTAGGGGTTTAAAAATATATATAAAATACCCCCTCTGTGTCATTAGAGATATTTGTTTTTACCTTAAGCTGAAGCAAGCAAGGTGAATTGTTAATGTAGGCCCCTCTTAAGAGATTTCCATTGATGTGATAGGTGGGCTTACATCTAATGGCCATTGGAGTGGAAAATAAAAACCTCTGTTTAGATAAATATGCACAAGTATTTGGAATAGTGTGCAATTAACTTTTTCTTTGGTTTTTATTGTATTTATTGGGGCTGATGTGTACTATGGTCATTGCTGCCGCCCAGGGGTAGTGGGAGTTTGAGCACAGGACTTATTTTTGTGTATTCAAATCCTGTTCTGACCACCTTAATGGAAGTGTCCTGGGGCAAGACACATACTATATATATATATATATATATATATATATATCTGCCTACCATAGACTGCAAACGTGTTCGAATAGGCCATTTCTCTAATAGCAAATCGTTGTTATATAAATTTTAATAATAAGGACCCGCCAAGAGGTTGCCATGGAGACTCGTCACACTTACCCTAGTTATTGGGATTGAGTCTTTTAAAAAATATATATATATAATGGGTATTTTTTAGAGAGTGGGAAATAATACTTTAGTATACATTAGAAAGCCAGAAGTAGTTTCTTGAATGAAAGTTTTATTGTTTACCAGGTACCTCAGGGTTACCTACACCTTATGAATAAGTGTATCGTTCAGATTTGGAGTATGCCATTGAGCTTGTGCAAGAGTGAAATATATTTCATTAAAAAGGTTTGTTTGACTGTATCTATTTGAATAAATAAGTAGCAGGAACCAATAATTGGTAGCAGGAATACATTTTTTTTTTTTAAAAGATTTCACTCAACGTGCAGTCTGAGCAGATCTCTCCTACACAGAGGATAAGGAAGAGAATCACTCAATATTGGATTTCAGGATTTATAGATTAATGGTATGAATAGTGTGGATTATTTGGACTTTCAAATATAATTATTCATTCCTTGTGTGTGCCTACAGATTTTAACTAGTGTTCTGAATTTAGGTTAGATTATTTTGTGAAGCCCAGTCCCATATGATTATTGTATGGATTTCAACTGAGGAAAAGGTTTGTGAGAGGTTTTGGTGTTATCAAACCTATTTAAGGAGGTCATTCCTGCTGTATTTTTAGTTTACTTGCTTACACTTTTTTTTTAACTTTATTAAAATGCTGGAAACATTTTGTAATTCTTACATTTGTAAAAAAACAACCTCCGTCTTCAGCATGCTTTACACATGCTCAGTACCCCATTATTTTCTGCAAAAAGCTGTAGGAGACAGAAAGTCACTTAGGCCAGCTCACAGCCAGACACCAAAAGGAAAGATAACAGTATGGGGACCTTTTTGTGGTTTGTTACAAGGTCCCATGCACGGGATTGGAAAGGAACCTGTTATAGGGAAAGACATCTGAAAAGGGAATCTGAAAAACCTGTAATGGCAGCACTGGGGAAATGAGAATCTATAATGGGAAACTAAAAAGTGAAATGACTGAACCTACATGTCATACATCCTCACGGCCCTCGTCGCTCCGGTCCCTCCGTCCATCCTCTCCTGCTGAGCTGTGCGGACCTCGGGTGCGTGCGTGCGCCTGGGAGCGCGTCCGGGGGTGTGCGCATGCGTGGGTTGTTGCTAACAGGGGCGCATGCGACTTGTCCGGGAATTCTTAAAGTGATAGTAACCTGTTACTACTATCTATTTATATACTGCCTCATTCTGTCCCTAACCTATCAGATTTCACCTAACACCTAACCTCCTTCTGACATCACTTCCTTGCCCTGTCGTGGTTTATTGTAGCCCAAGAGCGCATTCTGATTACTTGTCTTTCATTGGTATCTGACTTCGGCTTGTTTCTGGTTATTCTTATCTCTGGCTCCTTGGCTTTGTTTATCGCTTACAAAAAAACAAAAATAATGTAGCGCTTTTATACTGAATAAATGAGGCCTCTCACTCATGACTGAAACCGCAGGGGAGCAGCACAGAGGCAGCCTACAGATCAGGACAAGATTTTCTCTGACAATAGGGGTGGGTCGCCTATACGGACCCAGAAGTGATTCATACCAGAGCTGGGTCTATAGCTCTCCGTTTGTGAGATCACTGTTTTAGATATTATTTAGTTATATACTGTCTACACCATATCTGATTGTCTTTTGTAGATATCAACCTATCTGACACTCAAGGGAACACTCCTCTTAATTACCCAAAGGAGATAAATTGTTCATTTATTCAGTATAAAGGCGCTACATTCCTTTTGTTTTTTTGTATACTATGTTTGTGACATTGGAAGGAATCGCATGAATGTATAGCAGCTAGACTTTATTATAACATTCCCACACGTTGATATAGCAGATATTTAGC